GCCTGTAATCCAAGCAGTTTGGGAGGCCGAAGCAGGAGGATCACTTGAGCCTAGGATTTTGAGTCTAGACTCGGCAACACAGGGCAATCTTATCTCTCTCTTTAAAAAAAAAAATTTTCGCTGGGCGCGGTGGCTCAAGCCTGTAATCCCAGCACTTTGGGAGGCCGAGGCGGGTGGATCACGAGGTCGAGAGATCGAGACCATCGTGGTCAATGTGGTGAAACCCCGTCTCTACTAAAAATACAAAAAATTAGCTGGGCATGGTGGCGCGTGCCTGTAGTCCCAGCTACTCAGGAGGCTGAGGCAGGAGAATTGCTTGAACCCAGGAGGCGGAGGTTGCAGTGAGCCCAGATCGCGCCATTGCACTCCAGCCTGGGTCACAAGAGCGACACTCTGTCTCAAAAAAAAAAAAAACAAAAAACAAAAAACAAAAATTTTTTTTTTGAGATGGAGTCTTGCTTTTGTCACCCACACTGGACTGCAGTGGCATGATCTCGGCTCACTGCAACCTTTGCCTCCTGGGTTCAAGTGATTCTCCTGCCTCTTGAGTATCTGGAATTACAGGCATAAGCCACCAGGCACAGATTTTTATTTTTTTTATTTTTTTTAATTTTTATTTTTTGAGACGGAGTTTCGCTCGTTACCCAGGCTGGAGTGCAATGGCGCGATCTCGGCTCACCGCAACCTCCGCCTCCTGGGTTCAGGCAATTCTCCTGCCTCAGCCTCCTGAGTAGCTGGGATTACAGGCACTCACCACCATGCCCAGCTAATTTTTTGTAGAGACGGGGTTTCACCTTGTTGACCAGGATGGTCTCGATCTCTTGACCTCGTGATCCACCCGCCTCGGCCTCCCAAAGTGCTAGGATTACAGGCTTGAGCCACCGCGCCCGGCCCAGATTTTTATATTTTTAGTAGAGACGGGGATTCACCATGTTGGCCAGGCTGGTCTCAAACTCCTGACTTCAGGTGATCCGCCCACCTCGGCCTCCCAAAGTGCTGGGATTACAGGCGTGAGCTACAGCGTCCGGCCAAAAAAATTTTTTTTTCAAAATTATCCAGGTCTGGTGGTGCGTGCCTTGGTACCAGCTGCTTGGTAGGATGAGGTGGGAGGATCACTTGAGCCCGGGAGGTCGAAGCTGCAGTGAGCTGTGATCGTGCCACTACATTCCAGCCTGGGCGGCAGAGCGATCCTGTCTCAAAAAAAGAAAAAGAAAAAAAAGGAAAGAAATTTTTTTCCCAGTAATTCTTCCGCCAGTTGGCTTATGTCAGCCGAAAAACAAGAGGACAGATCTTTCACAGTCCAAGCTAATTCTGAGTTTCCCAAGTATGACGAAAGAGAAGAGGTAAGGATGACTGTATTTTTTAGCCTAAGCAACAAGAAGAATGAAGTACAGCACTAAGATAGGACAAACTGGAAGGTTTTGGGGGAGACAAGATCGCGAGCTCAGTTTCGGATGTTATGAGTTTCAGATGGCTCAAATGCGTGAGGAGGGCGAGTGGACATCTCTTCGGCTCGCTCCGTTCGCTACCTGTAGTTAATTGTCTACTCCTGTTGTTTCCCACGCCTGCACCTTTGCATGTGCGTCCACTGCCGGGTATGCAGTCTCCTCACGGTTGAACCCCACTTCCTTACACCATCAAGCGAGACCCAAAGCCCCGCACAACAGCGCTAAATCTCGGGCCCCGCCCCTACCAAGGCCCCGCCCCCCAAGCCCCGCCCCGCACTGCGCTCACTTGTAGAAGCTCACAGGGCGGTTGTCCGCGCCCAGGTGGCCCGCAGTGTTGGAGCAGTTCGGCGCTCTGCAGTACTTGGGCATGGCTGACCAGCCCCGCTGACTTTTGCCAGGTCAGCGGCTGCACTTTGGTTTTCGCCGAGCGCCGCCGAACCCTGCCTCGCCCGCGCGCTCGCTTCCTGCCTCACGTGACGTCCCTGGAGTCTCGTCACGTACCCGGGAGAGCTGAGCGCGCCTGTCTACTAGGTGCCCCCTCCACAGTCTCACAGCCACGCCCTCGTCACGTGGCGAATGAGCCAAAGCGAGTACTGTGCGCCTGCGCAAAGCCGGCCCTTCGCCAACCCGACTTTCATCACGTGTTGGTGGAGAGGCGGCGTCACGGCGTTTCTGAGCCTGCGCCAACCAAATCAACTTGCCCCACCCTTTGCTTACATCCGGGCGACCGTCAGATCTCACCTAGTTCCTCTGGGTGGCGGCAAAAATCGAGGTGAGGCGGCTGTGGCCTTAGCCTTGTAAAAGTTAAAATCTGTATGTTCCAGCGAGTAATGAAAACGCAGTCTGGATGAAAGACCCCATGACGCTTGATCAGGCCCATCCTGTACACTAGCTGTGGCCCCGCCCCGCCAGGCACTCGCTGCGCTTCTTCGTCCCCATTGGTCCTAGGAGCGCCGCCCGGCAGCCCTGAGATTGGCCAGACCGGGCCCGTCGTGTCCAATAGGCGGCGGCGCCGGCTTTCCCGCGGTTGTTTGCTGTTTCAGTGAGTCGTGGAGGCGGCGGCGGTTAGGGGATGTAACGGTCGCCCGGCTCCGGCGCGACGATGGCGGCCGTAGGGTCCGGAGGCTATGCGCGGAACGATGCGGGGGAGAAGCTGACCTCTGTCATGGCGGGAGTTCCGGCGCGGAGGGGCCAGTCCTCCCCGCCCCCCGCCCCACCGCTCTGCCTGCGGCGGCGGACGCGATTCTCGACGGCCCCCGAGGAGACGGTGCAGAACCGGGTGAGGAGCAGCTCGCCATGCCTACCCCAGTTTTAGGTTTCCTGGGTCTCCTAGTTTCGCCCTGAGAACTGTGGCCCCGGCTATCGGCCCCGCGGCCAATCCGCTCAGGTTGCTCTCTGCCGCGCCTCTTCCCTTAAGCCCCGCCTCGTTTCCTAAGCCCCGTCCCTTTAGCCACGGTCCCTCCCACTTTCCCTCTCCTCGCAGTATTGCCGGCTCCACCTTCTTGTGTTGGAGCAATTCCTGGGTTCTTCCCTGGTTCCCACCCCTAGGAATGCATTTTACTTTCGCAAATCACAGCCTAGTCCTGCTATACTTTAACCCCCGTTGGATCGCCTTTAGACGTCACGATCATAGCGCTCTCCAACCTCACTGCCCTGGCCCCCGCTGGGTCGTGAAGGTCGCTTCCTGGGTTCAGTCCAGAGTATTACCCGCTCCAACTTTTCCTCTCGTCTACCCCGCCTTTTCTCACCTTCTGCGGACTCTATCCCTTTTCCTCACCAAGGTGGTATTCTTAATCCATATTGCCTCTCAAAACTATGAAAAAGACGTGAGAAGTTACTTGTAAAGTCTCTGCAGTGCTGCCTAGGGAGGAGGGCGTACACAACAGTTTCCTACATCCTGAAATAGAAACATAGAAGGAAATGATTTCACAGTAGGTAGAAGGAATTCCATCAGCACAGCAGCACTTTTTTAAAAAATTGTTTTCCAGCTCTCTAGCCACAAAATCTGTTTTTATAAAATGGAGATGATAAGAACCATACCACTGGCCGGGCACGGTGGCTCATGCCTGTAATCCCAGCACTTTGGGAGGCCGAGGTGGGCTGTTCACCTGAGATCAGGAGTTCAAGACCAGCTTGGGCAACATGGTGAAACCTCGTCTCTACAAAGTACAAAAATTAGCCAGGTGTGCCGGCACACACCTGTAATTCCAGCTACTCAGGAGGCTGGGGCAGGAGAGATCATTTGAACCTAAGAGGCGGAGGTTGCAGTGAGTCAGGTCATGCCACTGCACTCCAGTCTGGGCCACAGAGTAAGACTGTCTCCAAAAAAAAAAAAAAAAGAACGCACCATACCATCACATTGGAGGGAAAGAAATTTTAACTGTGATCTCTTCTTGGCACAGAGTCCAGATAAAGGGTGGATACCTGGTAGCTGCTGGTGGAGTTTGCTCCTGCCCCATGGCTTTCTCCTGCACTGTGATTATACTGCCCACTCCTGGCTACAGGGTGTACAGGCTGTACCTCGCATGTCCTCCCTGTCACCAAGGTTCAGTCATACTGGCCTGCTTTCAGTTTTCCTGAGGCTCCAGGTTCTCTTCTCCTAGCCTTTGTGATTGGTGAATCCTCAACCTGGGCTTTTTGCTGTAATCTACTTGGCTGGCTCCTTCCCATCCCTCAGATCTCAGCCTGAAAGTCATTATCTTGAAAGGCTTTCTTGAACCCCATTCTTTTTTTTTTTTTTTTTTTCATGTTTTAAAAAAGTAACATTGTTTTATTTATTTATTTATTTATTTATTTTTGAGACGGAGTTTTTGCTTTTGTTACCCAGGCTGGAGTGCAATGGCGTGATCTCGGCTCACCGCAACCTCCGCCTCCTGGGTTCAGGCAATTCTCCTGCCTCAGCCTCCTGAGTAGCTGGGATTACAGGCACGTGCCACCACGCCCAGCTAATTTTTTGTATTTTTAGTAGAGACGGGGTTTCACCATGTTGACCAGGATGGTCTCGATCTCTCGACCTCGTGATCCACCCGCCTCGGCCTCCCAAAGTGCTGGGATTACAGGCTTGAGCCACCGCGCCCGGCTGTTTTATTTTTTATTTTTTTTATTTTTTATTTTTATTTTTTTTTGAGACGGAGTTTCGCCCTTGTTACCCAGGCTGGAGTGCAATGGCGCGATCTCGGCTCACCGCAACCTCCGCCTCCTGGGCTCAGGCAATTCTCCTGCCTCAGCCTCCTGAGTAGCTGGGATTACAGGCACGTGCCACCATGCCCAGCTAATTTTTTGCACTTTTAGTAGAGACGGGGTTTCACCATGTTGACCAGGATGGTCTCGATCTCTCGACCTCGTGATCCACCCACCTCGGCCTCCCAAAGTGCTGGGATTACAGGCTTGAGCCACCGCGCCCGGCAACATTGTTTTATTACTATCTGCAGGTGGGGCCTGCATGAGGTGGCTGGTGTGCTGGGCTCAAGGGGTAATGTATGGGCTGTGGAGATGATGACAGAAAGGCTGGAAGGAAATGGGGTGAATTTGAAGGCCAGGCCTAAGGGATCCTCAGGTCCACTTCTGGGAAGAGACAGCCTTGAGGAAGGAGTCGTGGCAAGCCATAGCTAGGCCACCAATCAGATTAAGAAATTCTGAGAAATCTAGCTGCCCATCACTGTTGGTGTCCAGTTTCTTCATCATGCGGTCAAGGACACTGGGGTCCTTCTGGTACTTTGTGAAGGTGGCCAATTCTGTATTCATGAAGCTCAGGAACTCCGTCTTGGAGAGAGTGTAGTTGTAACCATCTTTTCCAGCATACTTCTGGAAAACAGCAATCAGGGACTCAATGCACCGCTCAGTCTCTGTAGGGCTGGAGATTTTTTTTTTTTGAGACGGAGTTTCGCTCGTTACCCAGGCTGGAGTGCAATGGTGCGATCTCGGCTTACAGCAACCTCCGCCTCATGGGTTCAAGCAATTCTCCTGCCTCAGCCTCCTGAGTAGCTGGGATTACAGGCACGTGCCACCATGCCCAGCTAATTTTTTTGTATTTTTAATAGAGACGGGGTTTCACCATGTTGACCAGGATGGTCCTGATCTCTCAACCTCGTGATCCACCCGCCTCGGCCTCCCAAAGTGCTGGGATTACAGGCTTGAGCCACCACGCCCGGGAGGCTGGAGATTTTTGCCATGTTGGAGCTGAGCGAGGCACGCGGGAGGCTGTGGCTGGGAGCGGCGCTGAGAGCTCTGGGCACGCGGCGTCGAACCCCATTCTTAAGGAGACACTCACCTTCATCTCTCACCAAGCACCCTATACTTCATAGCCTTTATCTTGTATGTTCCTGAAAGTGCCTTATGAGCTCTTAAACTGTGTATAAGAATAACAATAGCAAATTCAGAGAGGTGGCATAGCAAGGTGGCTAAGAGCACAGACTGCTGATGGTATGGCTGGACGCAGGCAGCCTGAGCTTAAACTTTAGTCCTAGTCTTCCTGTCAGGTTATAAACTTTTCTTTTTCTTCCTTTTTTTTTTTTTTTTTTTTTTGAGATAGGATCTTACTTTGTCATGCAGGCTGTAGTGCAGCGGGGTGATCTCAGCTCGGTGCAGTCTCAGCCTTCCTGGGATCAAGTGATCCTCCCACCTCAAGCCTCCCGAGTAGCTGGAACTACAAGCGCGTGGCACCATAGTGCTAGGATTACAGGCGTGAGAGCCGCTGTGCCCTGCCGAGTTACGCAGTTATCTGTGCCTCAGTTTTCTTATCTGTAAAATGACAATAATGATGTAGAAATCTCTCGTAGGGTATTTGTGAGGATTAAATGAGATCACATCCTAGGCACTTAGAACAACACTGGCACACGGCAAGTACTCTGTTAATGTTAGCTAATACTGATATTATTACTGTGTATTTGGGGTAATATTTATTTTTCTTGTTTGACAGCACAGTGTTGATTGATCTTGCAAAGATCTAGTCTAAAAGTAACCATTCATACTAATGCTCGGTAATGCTGCTCAACAGATAAAATAACATGAGTGCCATTGCTTGGTGGTTTATATTGGGATCCTAACACTGCCCTTTCCTGGATGGGTAACCCCTCTTGGCCTCTGTTTCCTCATCTATTTTGTTTAGTTTAGTTTTTTTTTTTTTTTTTTTGAGATAGAGTCTCACTCTGTTGCCCAAGCTGGAGTGCAATGATGCGATCTTGGCTCACTGCAATCTCCATCTCCTAGGTTCAAGTGATTCTCCTGCCTCAGCCTCCTGAGTAACTAGGATTACAGCCATGCACCACCACACCTGGCTAATTTTTTGCATTTTTAGTAGAGACAGGATTTCTCCATGTTGGTCAGGCTGGTCTTGAACTCCAGACTGAGGCATCACACCCAATCTTCTTTAATTTTTTTTTTTTTTTTTTTTTTTTTTTTTTTTTTTAGATGGAGTCTTGCTCTGTTTCCTAGGATGGAGTGCACTGGCGTGATCTTGGCTCACTGCAACCTCCGCCTCCTGGGTTCAAGCGATTCTCCTGCCTTAGCCTCCTGAGTAGCTGGGATTACAGACACCCATCACCATGCTTGGCTAACTTTTGTATTTTTAGTAGAGACGGGGTTTCACCATGTTGGCTAGTCTGGTCTTGATCTCTTGACCTCGTGATCCACCCTCCTCGGCCTCCCAAAGTGCTGAATTACAGGCATTAGCCACCATGTCTGGCTTGCTTTGTTTAAATTTTAAATATTACTGTTCATGTGTTTTTTTACTTGCTGAAACCTCTCAAATTTCTGGACTGTGAATTTGATGTGGGAAAACTGTCTACCTTTGGTCACTCCTGTGTCTCTCCTGTACAGCCCAAAGTGCTAGCTTTAGAGCCAGACTGCCTGAGTTTGCATATCAACATGGCCACTCACAGATGTAAGATCTTGGGCCTCAGAATCCTCACCTGTAAAACAGGGGTGATAATAGTGCCTTCTTGGCCTGTTGTGAGGATTCAAGTCTTTTATACATATAAAAGTACTAAGAGGCTGGGCACATTGGCTCCCACCTGTAATCCCAGCACTTTGGGGGCCGAGGTCACTTGAGGATCCGGGCGGATCACTTGAGGCCAGAAGTTCAAGACCAGCCTGGCCAACATGGTGGAACCCTGTCTTTACTAAAAATACAAAAATTAGCCAGGGATGGTGGCATGAGCCTGTAATCCCAGCTACTCAGGAGGCTGAGACAGGAGAATCACTTAAACCTGGAAGGCAGAGGTTGCAGTGAGCCAAGATCTCACCACTGCACTCCAGCCTGGGTAACAAAGCAAGACTCTATCTCAAAAAACAAGTATTTAGAAACTTACTCACAGGTCACCTGCTCACTGCGGCATTCTCCCACTTCCTTTGCACTCCTAACCTCCTTATCTGCTTTATTCTTCTCTCTTGCACCTGTCATTACTTGGCATTTATTTCACATATTTGTTCTGCTTCCTTTCTATGTCCACCATCCCCATCAGCAGCAGAATGTGGCTGTAAAATGAGAATAATGATGTAGAAATCTCTCATAGGGTATCCCACAATGGCAGGAATTTGTCTCTCCTCCTCACCACTCTGCTCTTCACCTAGCATTGTATTGTCAATGGAATGTTGAGAGAACAAGTGTTAGCTGCTGGTGGATGGCATGGCCACAGCAGCTCAGTGAATGGGCATTGAATGCAGCAGGACCTGAATGGGTAGCCAAGACGGCTGCACCATGTGGTGCCAGCTGGGGTGGGTGCCTCTGACTTGGGCCTTTTCTTTGCAGGTGTCACTCGAGAAGGTGCTTGGCATCACAGCCCAGAACAGCAGTGGCCTAACCTGTGACCCTGGCACAGGCCATGTGGCCTACCTGGCAGGGTAAGCAGATGAAGGCTTTGGCGTCTAATCGTTGCTAGGGAATTTGGAGCTCAGAGCCTGAAGCCATCGGTGAATCTCTCTGAGCCTCATCTTTTTCCCCTGTAGAATGTGGATAATGGGGCCTGCCTCTGAGGACTGTGGAGAGGATTCCATAGCCCACACTCTGTCTAGAACAGTGCCTGGCATGTAGTGAGTGCAGTGAAAGCCTTTATTATGACTACAGCGGGGAGGTGACAGCGATTCTGGGAAAGACAGGTGGTTAAAGTCCACACTGTGGTGTCAGGTAACCTGGATTTGTGTCACAGCTCTGTTGTGTATGCTGCTCCTGAGCCTCTTCCTCTGCCTCTGTAAAACAGTTAGTGACCCCTCTGCTTGCCTAGTTGAGAGGACTGAAGGAGATGCTACAGCTGTTCATTCCATAAATACTCATGTAGCCTGGCACTGTGCTAAGGACATCCCCTCTCTGGGTTTATTTCCTTATCTATAAATGGGCCTAAAGAGTCCTGACCTGAAGCCGGGCGCGGTGGCTCAAGCCTGTAATCCCAGCACTTTGGGAGGCCGAGGCGGGTGGATCACGAGGTTGAGAGATCGAGACCATCCTGGTCAACATGGTGAAACCCCGTCTCTACTAAAAATACAAAAAATTAGCTGGGCATGGTGGCACGTGCCTGTAATCCCAGCTACTCAGGAGGCTGAGGCAGGAGAATTGCCTGAACCCAGGAGGCGGAGGTTGCGGTGAGCCGAGATCGCGCCATTGCACTCCAGCCTGGGTAACAAGAGCGAAACTCCGCCTCAAAAAAAAAAAAAAAAAAAAAAAAAAAAAAAAGAGTCCTGACCTGGCCAGGCGCGGTGGCTCAAGCCTGTAATCCCAGCACTTTGGGAGGCCGAGGCGGGTGGATCACAAGGTCGAGAGATCGAGACCATCCTGGTCAACATGGTGAAACCCCGTCTCTACTAAAAATACAAAAAATTAGCTGGACATGGTGGCACGTGCCTGTAATCCCAGCTACTCAGGAGGCTGAGGCAGGAGAATTGCCTGAACCCAGGAAGCGGAGGTTGCGGTGAGCCGAGATGGTGCCATTGCACTCCAGCCTAGGTAACAAGAGCGAAACTCCGTCTCAAAAAAAAAAAAAAACAGAGTCCTGACCTGACCTGATCTGGCAGTTGTGAGGATTTAAAACAATTACATCTCTCTCTCTGTCTCCTTTTTTTTTTTTTTTTTTTGAGACAGGGTCTGGCTGTATTGTCCAGGCTAGAGTACAGTGGTATGAATAACAGCTCACTACAGCCTCAACCTCCTGTACTCAAGCTATCCTGCCATCTCTGCCTCCCGAGTAGCTGGGACTACAGGCACATGCCACCACAGCCAGCCAGTTTTTTTTAGTAGAGATGAGATCTCACTGTATTGACCAGGCTGGTCTTAAACTCCTGGGCTCAAGTGATTCCCCCACTCCCGCTCCCACTCCCAAAGTGTTGGTATTATAGCCAGCCTAAGGTCTTTATTAGCCTAGGGCCTGACAGACATTACCTCAGAGGAAATATTGGTTTCTGTTTAAGAACATAGTCATGTTAAGTGTCCTAGAATTTTCAGCAGAAACACCTGGAGGAGGGGGAGGAGGAGGAGACCAAAGAGGACCATCTATGCAGAGGGAGCGTGTTTATTTATGGGCTTTTCTGGTGGGAATAGAATTATCCCAGGACCCCAACACTCCCTCCAGTTGAAGTGTATTTTCCTCTTTCTCTGCAGCTGTGTGGTGGTGATTTTGGACCCCAAGGAGAACAAGCAGCAGCACATCTTCAACACCGCCAGGTAGGCTGAGGCCTGGACGGTTGAGGTGGGGGGCAAGGGTGAGACAAACGCTCAGCATCCCTCCCCTCCCCCACACAGCCTGGAGGTACTCATGGGTAGGTGCTTACTCATTCACTCACCTCTTGGCTCAGCAGCATTCACCGGGTGTCTGCTCTGTGCTGGGTGCTGTTCTGTGTGCTCGGGACACAGCAGTGACCAGAGGAGACAAGAATCTCTGTTGGCTAGAGTGAGACAGACTGTAAACCAGTCCGCTAATTACTGGCTGATCATGATCAGTGCTATGGAGGAAATGATGGGGGATGTCTTCGGGCAGCTTTGTGGGCAGAGAATAGGAGAAAAGCCATATCAGAGGGCTCAGGGAACGCTGCCCCAAGTCTGAGGCCTGAAGGAAGTGAGAGGTGACCCATAAGAAGCTGTAGGGAGAGCGCTTCAGGCAGAGGGCACAACAAAGGCAAAGGCCCTGCAGTGGTTAAGAATCTTGGGTGGTTTAGAAGTGGCCAGGGATCCGGGTACCTGGAGAAAGGAAGCAGGGGAGATGAGGTTGCAACAGGCAGA